TAACAATGCTGCAATTCACTGTCGATAAGTGGTGTCATTTAGAAGTGAATGATACTTGTTTGTACAATATGTGAAGAGTTGCATCATTTTCCTGGTGAGAGCTTCAGAATTTCAACAAAACTAGATAATCTATATTGAGCTAAAATTATGTCCTTTCTCCCTTAAACAGCCTACTCAGTCAGGTTTGTTCTGAAACTAGTTTGTGATCCTCCAAGCCAAATATTTCTTTATGCTTTCTGCCCATCTGATGCTTAGCACTAGGTAGCAAAACTGAAAATCTGTCTCAGTTTGGCCTATATGTTTTCCCTGGATACAAACTTGTATTATGTTTCATTACTGATTATAAGAACTTTGTGTTAGCCATTTCTAAATATGTTGTTCTTCAGCCTTAGTTCTTCCAAAGACTGTCAAACTAAAATTAGAAGATGCTAATGAAAATGAAGCCACCGTTGTTTGGGATGAGTTGGAGGATTTATTCACCTCAAGGTTTGAACTATTTATTTGGTTCCAAACTGTTGCTGGTGGAAGAAAACAGTATTCCCAAGGTATATTACTAAATACGACTAAAGCAACTGTTCCTGGGCTGCATCCTGGAAACCAATACTATTTTGCATTAACGATGAGAGATGGCACAGGTGCTCAAAGTACACTTACTCCAATTTTGAGTGTAAAAACAAGTAAGTTTTAATGGTGCTATGTTGCTGTTGTTAACTTCAAAACTGAATTCTGAGCAGTGACAGATCTAATTGTGGGTTGCTGGTTGCACCTTCAATAAGTTAACCTGTGTGTATTATAAATTCATCAATCTTGATGGTAGCAACTGGTGAAGGCATGCGCTGGAAGTGCTTCCCCTTAGTGGAAAGGGATAGTGCACACTAACACACTTGATTTTAGCCAAAAGGCAACTGAGGATAATTAACTCTATTTCATACTTGCATGACTCCAGGCACAGAAAATGGTGTGAAATTCAACAGATTTTCAGAAAATAGTTCACAGAAAAAGTTTTGAAGTGTAATCACTGTTGTACTGTGGGTAAATGTGGCAGTCAATTTGCACCCAGCAAGTTCCCATAAATAGTAATGAGGAAATATGCTCAAATAATCTTTTATAGCTGTGCTTGTTGAGGGATGACTGTGGGCCACAAGACCAGGAGAACTCTCTTGCTCAACTTTGAATAATGCTGTGTCGGGTCTTGATGAAAGATCCCTTGTCTAATAATGCACTGCATTCCCTCTGTATTGCACTAATGTGTCAGATTGCATGATATATTCACATCTCTGGAGAAGGATTTAGAGCTTACAGGCAGAATATTAAGAGTAAAATACTTAGAGGGCCTGTACATTACTCCCACAAGTGACTTCTTACCTTTATCATTTCTCACCTCCACCAGAACTGTTTCTGCATCTTGGTTTCCTGAACTTAGGTCTCTACTGTGCATATACCATCACTAATTAGCAGAGTGACCCCCTCCACATTTTCATAGTTTGCAATCCTTCATAAATATCTTGACTATTCAATGTTCAGGTATGAATCAATGTCATCCAGTGGCCATGTCTCTGTAATGGCTATCAGATCATATTTGTGTTCTGTGTTCATCTGATTTGTTTTAAACAGTATGTGTATTCAGATACAGAGTTTTTATTGTTATTCTTTTCTTTTTGTATCTTTTTATCTATTGATGTGCTCTAAGATTTATATTCTTTATCCCCTACTGCCATAGTCTGTTGATCATCTCCTGTCTTAGTCTTTTATCCTTGTTTCTATCTGTTCATTTATCACATTTTCCCAAATCTTCATCCCTCCCTTATAATGTGGCTTGCAAGAACACTGACGCTAACACAGTCCAGATGGAGACAGAACCAATGATACAGATCCCACTTTCCACAGCATTGGTGCAGACTCGGACTCTTGGCCTTCGCACAGGCCTGTTGAGGCGGTCTCCCAGCTTGGCATGGCAGTCTTCTGGCCCAACAAGGCAATCACCCGGCTTGGCATGGAGGTCTCTCAGCCTGGCCTGGTAGTTTCCTGGCATGCTGTGGTGGTCTGCCAGCGTGGTTTGATGGTCTTCCAGCCTGGCAGATTTTTTCTATTCATTTGTGGTATGTGGGAGTCACTGGCTGGCCGGCATTTCTTGTCCATCCCTAGTTGCCCTTGACAAGGTGGTGATGAGTTGCCTTCTTGAACTGCTGCATTGTGGTTGACCCACAATGCTAGTATGGAGAGAATTCCAGGATGTTGACCCAGTGACAGTGAAGAAACGGCGATATATTTCCAAGTCAGGATGGTGAGTGGCTTGGAGGGGAACTTGAAGGTGGTGGTGTTCCCCCATATAGCTGCTCCCCTTGTCCTTCTAGATGGAAGTGGTCATGGGTTAGGAAGGTGCTGTCTGAGGATCTTTGGTGAATTTCTGCAGCACATCTTGTAGATAGTACACACTACTGCTACTGAGAGTCAGTGGGGGAGGGAGTGAATGCTTGTAGTGCCAATCAAGTGGGCTGCTTTGCCCTGGAGGGTGTCAAGCTTCTTGGGTGTTGTTGGGGCTGCACTCATCCAGGCAAGTGGGGAGTATTCCATCACACTCCTGACTTGTGCCTTGTGGATGGTGGACAGGCTTTGAGGAGTCAGGAGGTAAGTTACTCGCCGCAGTATTCCCAGCTTCTGGCCTGCTCTTGCAGCCACTGTGTCTATGTGGTGAGTCCAGTTGAGTTTCTTGGCAATGATAACATCCAGGATGTTGATAGTGGAGGATTCAATGACCGTAACATCATTGAATGTCAAGGGATGGTGGTTAGATTGTCTCTTATTGGTGATGGTCATAGCCTGGCATTTGTGTGGCACGAATGTCACTTGCCACTTGTCAGCCCAAACCTGGATATTGTCCAGATCTTGTTGCATTTGAACATGGACTGCTTCAGTATCTGTCATTTGTGAACATCCCCACTTCCGACCTTATGATGGAGGGAAGGTCATTGATAAAGCAGCTGAAGATGATTGGGCCTAGAACACTGCCCTGAGGAACTCCTGCAGAGATGTCCTGGAGCTGAGATGACTGACCTCCAATAACCACGACCATCTTCCCATGTGTCAGGTATGACTCCAACCACCGGAGAGTTTGCCCCCGATACCCATTGATTCCAGTTTTGCTAGGGCTCCTTGATGTCACACTTGGTCGAATGCAGTCTTGATCTCAAGAACTGTCACTGTCACCTCACCTCTGGAATTCAGCTCTTTTATCTGTGTTTGATCCAAGATTGTAAAGAGGTCAGGAGCTGAGTGGCCCTGGCGGAACCTAAACTAGGCATCACTGATCAGGTTATTGCTGAGAAGGTGCTGCTTGATAACACTGTTGATGACACCTTCCAACACTTTACTGATGATCGAGAGTAGACTGATGGGGCAGTAATTGGCTGGGTTGGATTTGTCCTGCTTTTTGTGTACAGGACAGATTTGGGTAATTTTCCACATTGTCGGGTAGATACCAGTGTTGTAACTACTGGAACAGCTTGGCGAGGGGAGCGGTAAGTTTTGGAGCACAGGTCTTCATTACTATTGCTGAAATGTTGTCAGGGCCCATAGCTTTTGCAATATCGAGTGTCTCCAACCATTTCTTGATATCACATGGAGTGAATCGAATTGGCTGAAGACTGGTATCTGTAATGGTGGGGATCACTGGAGGAGGCTGAAATGGATCATCCACTCGGCACTTCTGGCTGAAGATTGCTGCGAATGCTTCAGCCTTATCTTTTGTACTGATGTGCTCGGCTGTTCCATCATTGAGGATGGGGATATTTGTGGAGACTCCTCCTCCAGTGAGTTGTTTAATTGTCCACCACCATTCACGACTAGGTGAGGCAGGACTGCAGAGTTTAGATCTGATCCGTTGTTTGTGGGTTCGCTTAGCTCTGTCTATCACTTGCTGCTTATGCTGTTTGGCGTGCCAGTAGTCCTGTTTTGGTGGCTTCACCAGGTTGATACCTCATTTTACAGTATGCCTGGTGCTGCTCCTGGCATGCCCTCCTGCACTCTTCACTGAACCAGGGTTGATCCCCTGGTTTGATGGTAATGGTTGAGTGGGGGATATGCCGGGCCATGAGGTTACAGATTGTGTTGGAGTACAATTCTGCTGCTGTTGATGGCCCACAGCACCTTATTGATGCCCAATCATGAGCTGCTAGATCTGTGCAAAGTCTGTCCCATTTAGCACAGTGATAGTGCCACACAACACGATGGACGTTGTTCTCAATGTGAAGGCAGGACTTCGTCTCCACAAGGACTGTGCAGTAGTCACTCTTACCGATAGTACATGGACAGATGCATCTGCAACTGGCATATTGGTGAGGATGAAGTCAAGTATGTTTTTCCCTCTTGTTGTTTCCCTCACCACCTGCTGCAGACCCAGTCTAGCAGCCATGTCCTTTAGGACCCGACCAGTTCGATCAGTAGTACTGCTGCCGAGCCACTCTTGGTGGTGGACATTGAAATCCCCCACCCAGAGTACATTTTGTGCCCTTGCCAGCCTCAGTGCTTCCTCTAAGTGTTCAACATGGAAAAGTATCAATTCGTCAGCTGAGCGAGTATGGTATGTGGTAATCAGCAGGAGGTTTCCTTGCCCATGTTTAACCTGAAGCCATGAGACTTCATGGGGTCCGGAGTCAATGTTAAGAACTCCCTCCTGACTGTAAACTGCTGTGCTGCCACCTCTGCTGGGTCTGTCCTGCCAGTGAGACAGCACATATCCTGGGATGGTGATGGTGGCGTTTGGGACATTGTCTGTAAAGTATGATTCTGTGAGTATGACTATGTCAGGCTGTTGCTTGACTAGTCTGTGAGACAGCGCTCCCAATTTTGGCACTAACCCCCAGCTGTTAGTGAGGAGGACTTTGCAGGGTCGGCATGGTGTTACCTGGCCCCGGCGTGGCAGTCTCTTGGCCTGGCATGGTGATCTTTCAGTCCGGCATGGCACTCTCCCAGCCCCGGCATGGCACTCTCCCAGCCCCAACATGGCACTCTCCCAGCCTGACATCGCGGTCTCCCAGCCCGACATGGTGATCTCTCAGTCAGGCATGGCACTCTCCCAGCCCCAACATGGCACTTTTCCAACCCTGATGTGGCAGTCTTCCAACCCAAACGTGGCACTGTCCCAGCCCAACATGGCAGTCTCATGGCTCAGCGTGGCAGTCTCCCAGCCTTACATTGGCAGTCTCCCATTCTGCCGTGATAGTCTTTTGGCGACCTGTGGCAGTCTTTTGGCCCAGCATGGCCTCAGCATAGGCTTCCAAGGTGATTCCAGAGCGGTCTCCCAGCCTCAAAAGCCTGGAGGTGAAGTCCGGTACAGTCTGGAGTCAAGGCCTCGTGGCTAGGTACTGGCATGGGCTGGGTTGGAAGGACTGTTGTTTTGAACTTGTTATTTCTCTATTTTCTAATTTATTCCTACGATCTGCAATGTGGACTTCTTATTTCTTTATTTTTCTAATTCTTTTTTCCTAAAAATTTGTACTGATGATCTGTACCTAGGTACCTAAGATGGTGCCATCGGTGGCAACTTGTAAACTTTTCACTGTACTCATTTGAGTACATATGATAATAAAGCTAATTAAATTAAATTCATTGATACCAATGCCCCTTGAATTGGAGTCCAGTTCACCCACAGAAGTTGGTGGGCCACATATTCATCTCTCTCTAATCTGATTTGTTTTATGGCAATTTGCACATGGCTCAGGTAATAATCCAGAGATTAAGACCGTTGAAATTTTTCTTCATAATTTAGTACCTGGGCCTTATATCGACTCTGTAGAACCTCTCTGTTTGCCCTGCCTATGGCCTTGGCACCTGCATTGATTACAAAAATTGGATCTGCCCCCTTCCAAACATGTTCCTCTATAACCCTGAGCAGCTGTCCCAAACCACTTGACAGGCAACACAGCTACAGGCTCATAGAGTCATACAGCATGGAAACAGACCCTTCGATCCAACTCATTCATGCTGACCAAGTTTGCCAAGCTAAACTAATCCCAGAATACTGCAGATGCTGGAGAATCTGAGATAACAAGGTGTAGATCTGGATGAACACAGCAGGCTAAGCAGATCAGAGGAGCAGGAAGGCTGACGTTTCGGGCCTAGACCCTCCTTCAGTAAACTAGTCCCACTTGCCTGTATTTGGCCCATTTTTGTCTAAACCTGCTGTACCTGTCCGAATGTCTTTTAAATGTTGTTACTGTACCTGCATCTACCACTTCCTCTGACAGTTCATTCCACATATGAATCACCCTCTGTGTGAATAAGTTGCCACTCATGTCCCTTTTAAATCTTTCTCTTCTCACCTTAAAAATATGACCTCTAGTTTTGAATTCCACCACCCTAAAGAAAAGACACTTGCTATTCACCTTATCTATGCCCCTCATGATTTTATAAACCTCCATAAGGTCACCCCTCAACTCCTACGCTCCAGTAAAAAAACGTCCCAAGCTATCCAGTCCCTCCTTATAACTCAAACCCTCCAGTCCTGCCCACATCCTAGTAAATTTTTTTGAGCCCGCTACAATTTTATAATATCCTTCCTATAACAGGGTGTTCAGAACTGTACACAGTATTCCAAAAGTGGCCTCACCAATATCCAGTACCATGTCCCAACTCCTATAGGCAATGGTCTGAGCAATGAAGACATTTCTACTAAATGCTTTCCTAACCACACTGTCTACCTGTGACACAACTTTTAAAGAACTATGTACCTGAACCCTAGATCTCTCTGTTCAACAACACAACCAGGGCCCCACCATTAACTGTATAAGTCCTGCCCTTGTTTGTTTTGTCAAAGTGCAATACCTCACATTTATCCAAACTAAACCCCATCTGCCACTCCTCTGCCCATTGTCCTATTTGATCAAGATTCCTTTGTAATCTTAGATTACCATCCTCACTGTCGACTATACCATCAATTTTGGTGCCATCTGCAAACTTACTAACCATTCCTCCTAAATTCTCATCCAAATTGTTTATATAAATGACAAACAAAAGGGAATCAGCACTGATCTCTGAGGAACACTGCTGGTCACAAGCCTCCAGTCTGAAAAATAACCTCCCCACCATCCTCTGTCTCCTACAGTCAAGCTAATTTTGTATCCGATTAGCAAGCTTTCCATGAATCTCATGCGATCTAACTTTACTCATTAGTCTACAATGCAGAACCTTGTCAAAGGCTTTAGTAAAGTCTATGTAGACAATGTCAATTGCTCTGCTCTAGTCAATCTTTTTGGTTATGCCCTCAAAAAACTCAAGTTTGTGAGACACAATTTCCCATGCACAAAGCCATGTGACTATCCCTAATCAGCCCTTGCCCCTCCAAATGTGTGTAAATCTTATCTCTCAGAATCCCCACCAACATCTTACCCACTACTGATGTCAGACTCATTAATCTACAGTTCCTCTGGACTTGCAGTTTTTACTGTCAATCCCCTTCACTATACATTCCACTACTACCATGACATTCATTCTTCCTTCCTCACTTGAGTAGCTTCCTGTACCACATTATCATGAGTTGTTGGCTAATTCTCTTTGCAGCCCTCAATGTCTCATCCAGGCAAACTGACAGACATTCAAATTTGTGGGCAATTGAAAAGGCTGAACATCCTGTGCTCCTTCCCCCTGGGTTCCTGACTTGCTTCACTCACAGTCTCACTCTCCTCTCCCCAAACACCGATGAAATCAGAAATCCCTGACCTAAGAGGTGTGACTGTCTTGTGGTACAAAGAATCTTAGAAAATTTCACTCTGATGCATTACAATATCAATAGTTAAGCCTCCAGTTTAGAAACTCTGAGCTAAAGCTGTTCAAATGTCTAGCACTTACTGCATAGAGGGTCTGACAGCATCTGAGAAGTGAGAAAGTTGATGTTTTGGGTCTGCACCCTTCATCAGGACCCTGATGATGAAGGGTCCAGACCCAAAACGTCGACTTTCCTGCTCCTCAGATGTTGTCTAACCTGCTGTGCTTCTCCAGCTCCGTGTTTTATTGACTCTGACTTCCAGCATCTGCAGTCCTTTCTATCTCCTACTTACTGCAACATGTTTGCTCATGATCACATTGACATCCAGAACTCCCCACATGCTGCAGCTGTGATAGATCACCTATTCTGCCAATTTTGATGTGTTTTAAATAAATCCTTAATTGTGTCATTCATGTATATATTTACTTATGTTTTTACTTTTTTTTAAACCTCTTTACAAGTTAATTGAACCTTAGGAACATAATACCCTTCATCACTTAACAAATACTGACTAATAAACTAGCTTCTTTTCCAGTGAGTGGAGTGAAAATAGTTCTTTGAAGCTGAAAAAGTGAAATCAAAGATAAAGAAGCACTTCTTTTCCTTCCTCCCTTAAATCCTTCGTCACCAACTCCCAGCACTGTATTGTTACTTGCAACAAGTGCTAAGTTGCACGAAATTGGCTACTTTTACACATGCCTTAGACAAAAGGCCAAGGTAATCCAGTTATAGAGGAACCAGTTTCAGCTGCTTTATTCATGAAATAAATCCAACTACTCTTGCACTAGAGACCTTGTTAAAACCTTACTTAAGGTTTGGAACTTTACAAATTAAACTGTAGATTTCATTGCAATGCAACCACAAACAAAATGAGATTTGAACAAAAAGATTAGATTCTCTTGTCCACCATCTACATTCATTCAGTCCTGGATCAAACTAATATCTATACTTTTGGAAAACAATAATAAAAGCACTCATTGATATTAAAGTTCAAATCTGCCTAACACAACACAGTGGAAAATAGATATAATGTTTAATTTTTTAAAATTAAATTGAAAATTTCTTCATTTTTAGTTGTGGTTGATTTTTGTTTTCTATGGTCCCAATATTCATTGCTGGGTTGGGTGCAGCGTTGTAAGAATTCTAGGTTCCATAAATCTGACCTTCAAAAATAGTTTCCTGCAATTCTGATTTTTGGTTCAGAAGTGGGCTGGATAATGCTGCTTGTTCCCATGGCAGGCTTGGAGGAAAGCTTGCCTTTGGGGTCCAAAGCTATGTTAACATTTGAAAATACAGATTAGAACAGAAAGCATCCCTCCTGCGCTCACCAGCTCACTCTCCATGCCCCATCAAAGCTGCCCTAAGCCTATCTTCCCACCTCAATGGCCCCTCATCCCTCCCACGCCAATCTATTCCCCTCTACCCAGCTCAAGTGCCACTTGTGTTCTATATCAACCGAGTGCCTTCTTCCATACATCAACATTTACCACATAGGGAATTTCTGCCTGATTTTTTCCCCCTATTTTCATTTAAAAAGTTTTGTAAAGTGAGATACATGGCTGTCAGTCTGTCAAGGACAAGAATGACTTTTATCATAGCATCTTCTGTCCTTCACCTCATTTGGTCTTTTCGGTGGCTTTCTTGTTGAATTGCATGGTGGGAAATGCAGAAATGCTCACCCCTGGAGGGGCCTACTTACATTCTTGCACTGCCACTAGCTATGCACCAATTCAGATGCTATTACCCGGGCACTGGTGCTCACATTATGGTCTTGCGTAGCTATCACTGAGGAAATGGCCCAGAAAGGCAACTTAGCTCCCCACTGTGGAACAGAACCTGGAGGTGCTGGTGATTGGTTGATGGAGAAGAGGATCATTCTTTTCTGCAGACCACCAAGAGTTCACAACATCAGACATGGCCAGTCTGGACACTGATAGTGGCCTTGGTCAGACTATGTCGTCATTTAATGGAACATGCACCACTGCCCACACATCTCATCAAGACTCAAGGACTGCAAATCTCATTATTGAATACATTGTGTTGACTCAACAGTTCTCACCCACCTCCTTTCCCTAAACTACTAATCCTTCCAGCTACATTAGCTTTGGAGAATGTCTGGCAGCTGCTGGATATAACCTTTCCTGCTGGGCTTGCTGACTAATTGTAATAGCTGTTTCCTGCGCTGTCTTCACATTTGAAGCCAAGTCACATGAGTTCCAGACATGGAGACATCTTTGTCAGAAGAATGTGTAGGCATTCTCTGAGGAGGGTTCAAGAAGATCATGTAGTTCTACTGAAGGAACTCCTGAGCCCTCATGTCCTTCATAATAAAGCCTCATGTTATGCCCTCATACAGTGTGATGTGAAGACAACTCAAGGAGGTCAATGTCATGCCACCTTTAGGACCTCTGAATTATGAAACTTTATCCAAACATACATTGCATAAACAATGTTTCCAGGTTACATTTGGGGAGTAGAATTTTGTCAGTTTCAAGGGTTTATGCACTCTTTATGCACATCCTTATCCACACTTAGTAGTCTAAAGACCATCTCCTAGACACCCAAGTAACCCCTGACCCCCATCTCCAAACGATTCCTGATGTCCACCACCTAAGCCTTGCTCCTAAAATGGCCTGAAACCATGATGCAGTAGCAATTCAGTTCTCTAAAGGCATACCCTGGCTTTCCAGAAGAAATACACTAATAACAGATATGTCCTTATCTGATCTACTCTCTACATGTCAACTTCCAGATACCAGGAACTTCAAGATCCAATTTCAGTGGAGACAGCTGATCATTTAAATGGCCAACTTCCTCTGGGAGCTGCATTTGCGCGAACTGCAAACCACCCCAATATCGTCCCAGTGAAAATGAGAAAAGCCAGACTAGGGGATGTGACTTGGGTTCCCTGACTTCTTACAATATTTTTGCTGCAATGTCAGTGCCTAACTGTTTCTTGTACAAAAACATAAAACTTTATATTTATTTATAGAAATTTATATTTTCCCTGTTAAATAGGACCCAATCCACCAAAAAATATTACTCTTGGAAAAGTATCATCCACTGCAGTAGAGGTGCTTTGGAGTCCTCCAGATGAATCAGAGAATGCATCATTTCATCACTATCTTGTTAGTTATATGGTATTTGGATCAAAAAGTCAAGGAACTGAAAATGTTAAAGGGGACAGAACATCCTTAGTACTTGGAAATCTCAAACCATTCCACTCATACAAATTTTATGTACAGACAGTGGCTGAAGGAGGATCACTAAGTTGTGCTGAAGGACCATTGCTTGCAAGTACAGGTAAATATAGCTGTTGAGGTAAATTACTTCCATCTAAAAGACAGGGCATGTATTTATGTTCATTTGCAATCACATCAAACTTTGTCATATTTTGTATGTTTCTATATCAAATTGTATTTTTATTGGGTAACTTCTGGTAGATTTTTCTCTTTAATTGCAAAAAAAATGCAGTTAGAAGGACTTCTGCACCATCAGGAACACTGAGAAATTGGCAAAATGATTGTATTATGTGCTTGACTTTAATGTTGAAATGGAATAGATCAATATGAATTATAATCAACTTAAAGCTTTAGAGTTTTTACAATAAAACTAATCTTTCATTTAGAGTTGACTAATTATTTATGTTTTATTGTGAGTTTAGCTCCTAGTCCTCCAGTCCGTATTCATATTGACAACACTGATGTTTGGGAGAACAGAATCATTGTGCACTGGGAGCCACCGTTAGAAGGAAGTGATGAATACTATCTACAAATAAAACTGAGCAATGGCAACAATGAAGTAAAACAATATTCAGTGACAAATACAATGGTATTTCAATTTGATTTTCTAATCCCGGGTGTCACATATGACATTGAGGTGATGGCAATAAAGAGTGGGAAGAGAAGCGAACCAAAATTTATTACACAAACTACAAGTAAGTCAGAGGTTTAACATTTAAGAGTTACTAGGGCCCCTGTGTAGTAGTGATTCATTAGTCTGCTAGGAAAATGAGGCCTATTGGTTTTCACAGGGAGAATCTAGGTCCTTTGGTTGGCTTTGATGTCTATGGAGGAACCTTCTTTGTTTGGAGAACCTTTGTTGCAATGAAAGAGTGAGCCGTGGTTGGTGGTACAAATCTCCATCATGTTGAGGCTGGTGATGCCTTTTGGGACATGTTTGCATGAAACTGAGGTCCCCATGATGGGAACTATTATTAGGAGGAACTCATGGGTGCAAGCATGTGTTCATCATGGAACCTTAGTGTGCTGCATTCATGTTTCTGAAAAAAAAATGAATATTTATCAGTAATGACTGATTTTACATTTTTTAGAATAATCATGGATTGATTTGGCATAAAGTTCTAGAGTTACCTCTGATGCTTTATTGTTGTGCAATATCATCTTTGGTTTAGTCCTGAAATACTGCCAACCAATATTGCCAACCAACCTGGTACTGGTGAGATTGTGGACTTATCCTATTTTGGGACATCCATGGTTCCATTTCTTCTTGTTGGTGGCCACTGATGGAGAGCTGCTGGCCTATAATTGGCTGGCAACTCTAGAGGTGGACCTTGTCCCTACAGACGTTTGAAAGTCTGGCCTCAAACTAAATAAAGTGCCGTCAAATGAAAAGTTTAAGTGGGCTGAGCCAGCTGAACAGCGGTGAGCTCTTCCTTGAAAATTATGCCAGGGTGCAGGAGTCCACCTTCACGATATGATCCAGCCTGACATCTTTGAAGACAACTTAAATACCTCATCCTGCTGCCACCGGGATTAACCCAACTACAAATGGGCCTGGCATCATGCAGCACGAACGATAGGTCAAACTGCGCAGCCACTTGTCAACTCGGTGAGTGGTGTCCCTTCAACAAAGGCAATCAGTGTCTAATCAAAAGGACTGAATATTAGGAGGGTTGCTGACACTTAACTCTCTGTTCTTGCTTCTGATCCACTGTCTCCCTCTCCCCATGTCCCCAGCAGAAACTAAACCCTCCACATTCCTCAGCTTACTTACCCATGGCTTGGGTCCTCTGCAATCCTGGGACTACCAGGAAAAAGGGTGATCTTGTAGCAGTAGCCATGGTCTCTTGTGTTGCTGAGCTCACAAGAATTGCTGAGCTGTGATTGACCAGCAGCTGTTGTTAGGTGGGACTTGTTCCCAGGGTTTTGAATCTAGTGGAAGTCCCTTCAGTCGAGCATCTTGCTTGCTGATTGGCCAATTGGCTGGTGACACTGCCGATGCCACAACAAGATTCTGCCCATTCTCTTTGACAACAGAATAAAATCTGTACCGACTGATTCTTTTCACCTTTCAGGCTAATGTTTCAGACTGAACGAGACTTTTTGTACCCTTAGCTGACTCTGAGCTGAGCTTCCAACCTCAGATTCTCTCCAATGCAAAGAATACCTACATCATCACCTGTCTCCACCCTGCCTAATCCAATCTCTGCTAAAACCCTCATTCGTGTCCATGTTAGTTCCTGAATGAACCATTTCAATCTTGTTGATCTGGAGATTTTTTTAAATTGCAAAATCAATTTGTTTCTATTTCAGAGCCTAACCCAATTGAAATTGTTGCTCCCATTGATATTCAGACTCACTCAGCTGTGCTCTATATTGGAATGCCAAAAGTTGGCTTATTTGATGGAATTAATATTATGTATGAAAATGGAAATAAAAGGATGCCTATAAAGAGCATTGATGTTAATATAACCCTAGAAAACCTGACACCAGGCAAAGAATATAACATTGCTGTTTATGCAACTAGTGGCAACATGAGGAGCAAAGCCTACAGAGTTCCTGTTGTGAAAACATGTAAGTATCTCTGGTTGCTATTTTCAAACATCTGAAACTTGAGTATGAGCTTCAACATTTTACAGTGCATTGTGTCATGGTTGACCAATTCTTGACCATGTTTTCACAAGGTTTGAAAATAGAGTTGTGTTCGATGCAAGAGGTAATCACAATTTATTTCGGGGAAAAAAATGATACTATTAGAAATTGAAATCCGAAGGCAAACTTTGACTAAGTTTTAGGTCCTAGATTTTTTTATGCGAATTGGCATTTGAAAATAATTTAATTTGAGTAGGGCTGAAGTGGGAAGCTTGGTGAATTTGTCATATTGTGTTATTGTACAGTCAGGTTATATAATCAAATGAAGTGAATTTGGTCATAACTATTGCTTGAGCACCCAGTCAATGTGAAATAAATCAACTTTATAGTTGATACCTGGTGTCAGCATATCAAATGTTTCCTTTATCTGTTTTTAAACAGGATAAAAAGAAAGCATGCCTGCTAGAGATATCAATATCTTGTTCAGATTGCAAAGTTTTCTAATTGTCAAACTCATGAGTTATGTTACTGTAGAGTTGGATATTGTGTGAAATGAGAGCCCTTTAACCATTAACTACTTAGCCTCCAAAAGGAAATGATCAGCACTGTTAGACAGGAAAGAATGTCTCAGCCAAGTCCATAAACCTATAATAAATATTTCATTGTCAGAATGTCTTCACTTAGTTCAATAAATTTAGAAAGCAGAAACAATGCATTATAAAAATGAACTAAGTTCACCCAATAATACGGAAGTACATTTTTGCCAAATATTTGAATGACAGTTGACTACAAAATCGATTCATCTGTAAATGTGTACTAGTCAATCTGATGTGGACCCATGAAATTTCTTTTCATATGTTAATTATTGTTGTATTTTTATTCTAGGCTTGGCATCACCCACTAATTTACGTGAAGGAATAGTCACAGAAACATCACTGGAATTACTGTGGGATAAAGCAGAAGGCCATTTCTACCAATATGAAGTGCAATGTCTAAACTGTGATACACAGCTTGTGGTAACCTCAAATTGTTCTTGGTTCATTAAAAATGCACTGTATATAGCATGTGACATTTTTAACATTTAACCCTTCAAAAGTAACCTAGTTTGAAAATGCACCTAACAGCTGTTAGTACAATTAGACTATTGATAGTTGCTGTACTGTTTTGGCAAAATATGGCTTTTATTAAAAGAATTCCTAGCCATATTTATGTCATTAGTTAAATATGTATGGTAATCATACATATATCACATTATAGATCTATAACGCAACATGTCTATTGTGTTGTTTATTCATTTTAGGTTCAAAAAGTTGACCAGGAGTGTGCAGTATTCATACACCTGATCCCAGGAAAGCTGCATGATATTTCACTTCGGACAGAAAAGGAAGGCTTTCGAGATAGCAAACCAGTGAAAAAGTTAATACGTACAAGTAAGCATGTCTTTTGTTAATACTTATTGCAAATAAAATAGCTTATATTTTCTCTTGAGTTAACTTGATTCAGTGTAGTAGTTAAAATGTGTTAATTGGTAAGGAAATCTCAAAATCAATATTGAAGGGCCTCCCTTTTATTTATAGCTGACATCTGTAATTTTGTTTTCAAGCTTAGAAATGTTAATGGAAATTAGGCAAGCAAAATTCTACATCATTAACAAAAACACAACAATTTTTAGAACCTAAGGGTATCACATGAATAGAAATAGAGATGAAAATAGAAACTGAGTCATTGAGGGTTAATTTGAGTGATGATTAGATAGCCTGTTCAAACAAATGAGTTTTAAGAAAACTTCAAAGAGAAAAGGTTAAGTGAAAAGGTTTATGGAGGGACTTTGGAAGAGTTGAATGAAGTCATTCAAAACTCCAACATTAATGGCTGGAGCAAAATGGGCAGGGAATAGAACCTGGTCCAGCCTTGACTGTCTGTCTAGTGAGAATGATGCTAATGACCCTTTCTAAGATTTCATCTTCATTCAGCGAGATGGACAGATTATGCTACATTTTGAGGAAATTCATCTGATTTCAGCTGGAAGATAACACTTATACTCAAGTCAGAAGTTTAACTGGGAATTGGATGGGGGAAACTATAATGCTGGAGTCAAACTAAGCTCATTCCAATTCATAGAGACGGTTGATACCAAAATAAACAATCACATCAGTCACAATTAATGTGTAAGCTTATTATGTAGATATGTTTAAGTAACAAATGCTTGTTGTTTTTCATTAACACCTTTAAATGACCTTTTTCACGGGACATTTCAGATTTACATTACATTAATTCTTGGGGATGAAATTGGTCACCACCTGTAATGTGGAAATGGACACATAGCCAATATGCAGTCTGTTTAACACTCTACCTGATTATTTTCCTTTGAATTTGATAAAGTAGTTGCACTCACAGGACCTTTGGAATTGGGTACAATTCAAGCACCCCACATAACAATAGCAAACAATGATGCCATTGAGTACATGCAACACACTTGTTTTTTAAACTTAAGAGTACAGAACCTACTGCATATATTATTTTAAAAAATAATCATGCATAAGCCAATCTCAAAAATTTTCAGCCTAAGTAACTGCAGTTTTTTTTTAACCAAATAGCTCATGGTAAAGTCAAACTTATATTTTCAGGAATGAAAACTCAAAGTTGCAGAACTAGGTATGATCGCTACAACCATATCAAAAACTTCAATTCAGTATTCACTGAAACAGTTAAACATGGCATAAATCCTCTTGGCTGCCAGTTAAAGCAGGAAGAATTTAGATTGATTCTAATTTTTAGAGGGAAGAATGTAATAGTTTTGGGAAGAGTAATAAACAGCACACATAGCAGAAGTGTGTAGGGACCAACCTCCAGAGCAAACATGTCCTCAATTATCATGTTCAGCAGGAGGGGATGGTCTGGTCTTGGGAACTGGGGCCCCTGCACTAAGGCTTAGGTCAAAGGCTGAAAATAGTCAGCATGCTATTTTCCAATGGGTAAGCCTTGCCTTTCCCTGACCCCCAACCAGCATTATAATCAAATGCTCAGGTGATGGTGCTGCATCCTCCCAGTAGGGTTTGGGAAGGTTCTAAATGAAAAACACAGAGCGAGACAATAAATGGCAAATATAGATGCCTTACAACTTACACCCCTCCACCAGTTCCACTCCCCCTAAAAAGTGACCCCTAACATTTTTTCCTTAAATCTGAGTCTCAAAAATTAAATATTTACACAAAAATGTATGGTAATTGAAATAATTTTCTTTTACTTGCAATTGGACCAATACGTCTGTGCTCCATATTAAACCAGGATTCTGGATTTGTTTCTGAATGATCTGACAGTGCTACTGACCAATCACCATCCTTAATAATTTTAGCAATCAATAAAGAATTTAAATCTATATTTTATGAATTCATATTCTCTAATAGTATATTATTTTATGCTATTTTAGTGCCGAGTCCAGTGGAGTATTTGAATTATAACAAGACTTCTCAATCAGTAACTGTCAGCTGGCTTCAAGCTGCTCATGTATTTGATGGATATAATCTTACATTATCCAGCAAAACAATCCACCAGGTTGTCAACATTCCTTTCACTCACTCACGGTAAGAAGTTAACAGCATTATAAAAATTCAGATTTTCTTAGGTTTATCATGCAATTAATGGTCTGAGTTACATGGTTATGTTCCCAGTTGAAAGGAATTGAATTGTGAATAGTATATACACAATTATTGAAACTTCCACTTCTGTATATTTATAAAGATTATGACATTAAATCATAATATGTTGTTAGAAATATTAGTCTTTTGACAATTCATTCAGCTGTGTAGTGCATAGTTGAGGGAGTGCATTGTTACTGTGTTGTCTTTTTAATGAGAAACTAAAGCTGAGAACCAGTTTACTTGCTCAGGTGGAGGTTTAAGAATGCATAGGCAGTGCTTGCTGACACCCACTACTGTGGGCACTACGCATGCGTATTAATCCAGAAACGCACATACGCACAATGGGAGATCAGCTACATCGATATGTACAGTGTCGATAACATCATACACAAAGGCTGCACGGTGCGTATGCAAACATAGGTGTCATATTTACACAGGGTTTGATTAGAGGGAGTAAGGACATGGGATGGAGAGAGTGAGGACATGGGGTGGAGTGAGGACCCAGAAGGGAGGGGTGTGGACATGTAGTGAAGTGTAGATGTCGTGGGAGGTGTAGTGATTGTAATGAGATGGACCTCATAGAATATGAGTTCCCTGATTGGGGTTGTTAATCTGGTCCAATCAGGGAGCCCTGGCTGGGAAGTTTGACACATTTGATCCTGCTGTCAAAGACTGGGCCCACTATATGGAAAGAATGCGTTATTTTTTTCCGGGCAAATGGGGCAGATGCAAAGGCATGAGTAATTCTCCTGACAGCTTGTAGACATGCAGCTTTTTTGCTTATTAGGAACCTACCTTTCCCTGAGGCACCAGATACTAAAGCCTTTCAAGAGTTGACGAATTTAGTTAAGGAATGCGAAGTTTCCAAGCCTCCTGTAATTCTGAGATGCTATCGGTTTTAGTCAGCAATTCAAAAACTATCAGAATCCATATTGGGATTTTTGGCTAAACTTAGATGACTGGCAGAGGCGTGTGATTTTGGTTTAATCCTTAATGAGTTGCTTAGAGACCATTGGTATTTGGGATTAATGATGTAACCATGCAAAAACACCTACTAGCTGAAGCCCAAGTGGACTTCAAACAGGCACTACACTGGCTTTATTATTGGAAAATGCGGCAAGTGGAGCATACAAGTTGTAGGGTATTCCAATGGAACTGAATACCCTCACCAGTCTGACTGATCTTAGCGAACACCACTTGAGTGAAGAAAATTGTACAGCTTCACTCAAGAAATATTGTGAACAGAAGAGATCTAGGTCAGCCCACAGCAAAACCCCAAAACAAAACCAAGCCTCGGCCAAATGGTTATAATTTTCATCAGGATCCAGGCCAGCGAACCATTGTAGTTGCTGCTAGTATGTGGGCTTGAGACAGCAAAGGAGTCCCAGTAGACCTAAATTGAGTAAGAGAACTCATCGGCTGGTCCTAATAAAGTACCTGGACGTTTTTCAGGAAGGGACTACCAAAGGAGAGCGCATGCTCTGGAAAGTCCACCAACACCAATCTTCAACGACCCTAAGCCATTCAAACATTATTTGCTGCCATTCAATTAACGCATCTGTTATCTTGACTTCGTTACAACTGCCTTGGCTTTCTAACCTTTCATGTCTTTGCCAGCAAAAACCTACCAGTCATCGTCGCAAAATGTTCATTTGACCTAGTCTTGACTTTGGGCTGAATGTTCTCTGACAGGATGCTTCCTGTCTAATAGTAAATTAAAATATTAAAATGCTTAATGCAATACTTCACCTTTTTAATGAGATTTTTTTGTGTAAGCTATAAACAGATGGTATGAAACCCTGGGAACTTTATTTTATTCCTTTTTCTGTTGTTAACTATAACTATAGTGACTTCATTAGTAATGAGCTTTCAGGCCATCTCACTTACGAGATAATGATCGTACCTCCTGAATTTTCGTAATGTAGTTCCATTCAATTAAAAATTCACGTGGAAATGTTAACTTCTTTAAAAGGATTTTTTAAACATTGCATTGAGGATTTAATCCCAAAACTTGTAGTAAGTTGAGTAAAATTTCACATATGCTATTTGTCATATTGAGTACTTCCAGCATTGACTGGTTTAATTAATAATTGTACTTTGTATATTACACAGAACATATAGTTATGTCAAGCTGTTACCAGGTACCATCTATTTTGTAAGTATTGAGACCACAAGTTCAACAAAGAAGAGCCATCCCACTACAATCAATGTTACAACAAGTGAGTTCCTGTTACAGAACTAAAAATATTTAGGGCTGAATTTAATCCAGGAACTAGGAATCACACTAGTGGAACCAAAATCAGCTTGAGAATTTTGAGAAGGCAGAAAGGGGCTGGCCAAATGCAATCACATTTCGATTAATTAAGGAAAATGATGCAGTGAGCACATCTGGTTACACAGCTTGAATGGGCCTTTTTTCTGCTCTGCTCAAGGGTTTTGCTTCTGATGCCTCCAGATGCCTCCCTTGGCTGCTCCTCTCATGTGTCCAACATGATGATCTCCATTAAAGATGGAAGGCTGAGTTATATGTTCATACATAAAATAGCATTCATCTTCTTCCATTATCAGAGTTCTATGAGATTATCCATTATAAAATAACAGAGTTTTCGATAAATCAAAGTTTGCTGTTTGGTTATTTATTTCCTTTATTCATTCATGGGATGAGGGCATCGCTGGCTAGGCAGCAATCATTGCCCATTCCTAATTGCCCAGGGGGTGGTTACGAGTCAACCACATTGCTGTGGGTCTGGAGTCACATGTAGGCCAGACCAGGTAAGGATGGCAGTTTCCTTTCCTAAAGGACATTAGTGAACCAGATGGGTTTTTCCCAACAATTGACAATGGATTCATGGTTATCATTAGACTCTTAGTTCCAGATATTTATTGAATTCAAATTCCGCCATCTGCCATGGTGAGATTCGAACCTGGGTCCCCAGAACATTATCTGGGTCTCTGAATTAACAGTCCAGTGATAATACCACTCGTCCATCGCCTTATCATATATATTTGCTATCACATAGTTTACAAGTTATTTCCAGTACTGAAGAGATCATGTACTGAATTTATGTTGACAAGACATGAGACTGGCTAGAGGTCCACATTCTGATCTGTGTCCTTTAGACTGTTGCATCAAACTTTCCCTTCCGTCAGCATCTCCCCCTCAGACCTGTGCCTTCAGACTGTTGTAAACTCTTTCCAACCTCCTATGGAAGGCAGCTGCAAAACACTGATCCAGCATCTCCATACTTCAACACTGCCCAGCTTTCACATGACAGAGATCTGATATCCTATAATCCCCTGTTGCTGCACGTTTGATCACTAAAGCTTTACTTAATTCCATTCACCTGTATCCAAGTGATCAATAATATTATTTTTGACTCACAATTGGCTTTTCCTGCCTCACTGTCTTCCTGTTTAGCCATGTAGTCTAGCCATCGGGTCTTACCATCAGGAAACTTTCCCAGCTGATCCTACCTAATTCTACAGCCTTTTAAATTAGGAAATTCACTTTGCCACTCTTTTTGCATGTGCATACTTATATGTATGCGACATAATTAAATGTGAAACAGACTTGGTTGCTTTCTTTTTTGATTAGTGCTAATTACCAGCGATTAGAAGTCTCCCTGCATTTATATTTGGAACTAAGAATTGTTTGTGTAAGGTAATGTCCTCTTCTCCTGCTCTCAAGATGTGTTACTTCCTTCATGAATACTTTTCCATCTAACAATTTGGCTGCTAAGTAACAGAAGCTATCCAATAATGAGCTTATGAGACAGAAGCTTTCTATTGCTTATATTTGAAATTCCTTCTAAGCATTAATCAGTCTTTATTTACACAACTTAAAATCAAGTCAAATTTGCATCTGTAACATGGAAATTTAAAGGAACCCTAAGAAAAGAGAACATTTGAACTTGCTCAACTACATCAACTAAAATTGTAACTTAGCCAGTGCTTCATTTTCCCCAGTCAGACTAATGTAAAGCAGCAATTAAATCAGAAGTCCGTCCAATGGTTTTAGTGTTCAGGCTAATGAGCTCTGAACTGGGGGCCCTGTTGTCGTGCAGTGATAGCATCCTTAGCCCTGGGCCAGGAAGATTGGCTTCAAATCCCATCTGCTGCAGACATGTGTAATCACATCTCTGCCCAGGTTGATTAGAAAAATAGGAATTTTTTTTAATAAAAACATTGAATTGGTGAACTAGCAGGTCTGATTAATCTGCTTAATGACAGCTTGCCACTGGAAGGGTGGGAAATCCAGAATGACAGACACAAATGTTAGGCATCCTGCAACACTTAACAGGGAATGGAAAAATGAGGGATTGAGGGTGGTCAATAGAGCAGCTTATTTCAACATCAAAAAAATGGGATAATGAAGGAATGGTGAAGACTTAAACCCCAAAAGAATTAAGTAAAATTTAACCAGATTTGCTTTCTATGTTTCCCTGAGCTGTTTAAGCACCATTGGAAATAATAAGATACCTATTTGAATCAGTCAAATGTGGTTGAGGACGTAGTAACCTTCAAAATCATGTTGGGGTTTTAACTGCATCAAAAAAATTGACCCCATTGACATTGGTTCATTAGGCTTCTGCCTGTTTTTATGAAAGCTAGTTGTCCAAATCTTGATCTGCCTAAAAATTGGATCTACCAGTTCTCCAGAAATTTATCGCTTTCTTTCCATATTCATTCAGCTACAATCTCATTCAGACAGGAGGTGGTTTTAAGATTTTTTTCTGAAACCGGTATGTTTAAAGTGCTAATGTCCATTAATTAATGTTTTAGTTGTAGTCAGCTGCTGAATTTGAGGGACTAAAATTGCTTCAGAGATTGTCCCTGTTCCTGAATGAATGGATCTAAAGTTCATTCTGCAGGCTCACAAAGATTATCTGCGGACACCTAATAGGTATCCCTAGGCAACTTGTTGTTAAAAGAAGAGTCAAAGATCAGGCTTTCTTGATGTCAGCAGCATTCCATTTAAGTTGAGTGATTAAAGTGTCTGGGACAGAGGGTGATCAGGAAACAAAGGAGGATGGCAAACTAGAAGGGAGATAATAGGGAAGGAAAACAATGTTTCAGGAGAGTAATGGTGACTGTCATGCAGCATGGCAGTGGGCCAGAAGGAGGGTCATGGTTAGTGGTAACTGGGCAGGGCCGAGACTAGGTTAGTTTATGTATGTGTGTGTGTTTGGGTGGGGGACAGTGGTGCTAGGCAGAAAGAGGTTCTAGTAGTGACATTCCTTGTCAGTTTGGAGTGGGGTTTCAACCAACTGTAAGATCCCTTTTTGATGTATGCAAAATAGTTAACGTCTGAAGTAGGCAAGGGTTTCGGATGCCTTCTTTTTGACAATACTGTGAATTGGACCCTGCACAGTTGAGTGTCTGAGACATGATACTTACATTCATTTCTTAATAATATATTACACCACTTGCAAGTTCCCCTTCAAGCCACTCACTATCCTGACTTGGAAATATATCACCGTTCTTTCTTGTCACTGGGTCCAAATTTTGGATCTCTTGCCCTAACAGCATTGTGGGTTTGTCTACACGAAATGGGCTACAGTAGTTCAAGAAGGCAGTTCACCACCACCTCTTCAAGGGCAATTAAGGATGGGCAATATAGCCCATGGCCCAGGCAGCAATGCCCACTACCCATGAATAAATTGAACAAAAGTACTTTTTAAAGGCAAATATTAATCAATATGCCTTAGCTATTGTGTGATATCTATATATAAAATATGCATCCTGCATTGCAGAGCAATACTGAGAATAAACTATTGTATAAATTTCTTAGTTCCAGAACCTCCTGTGGACTTGCAGTTTGTTGAACAGGATGAGTACTCGGTATACCTATTTTGGAAGCCTCCAAGAGGCAATTTTGATATTTTTGAGGTGAGTGAAGCATCTCTTAAGAAAATTTTAACCACTGTACAATTTTCTATTGGAAGTGCATTCACCCAATAGGAAATATAATTACTGAATACTTTGTTTTCATTGTTATGACTGAGTGTAGAAGCTTAATGTTGCTTTACTCAGTTTACACCTTAACTGTAGAAAGCAAATTAGGATCTATCAATGGAATGATGCCATAATTCAATATTTAATGAGGAAAGCATTAATAGATGGGTCATCTAACAATGTAGGCATACGTAAACTGGATTAAATTCCTTATCATTCAAAATTAATTAATAGACAATGTGTTTCTTCTGTGGTATTAGAATTTAGAATCATAGAATCCCTACAGTGTGGAAGCAGGCCAATCAGTCCATTGAACCCACACTGACTCTTCGAAGAGCAGCCCACCCAGACCCACCCCTCTACCCTATCCCTGTAACCCTGCAAATCCCATGGCTAATCTACCTAGCCTGCACATCCCTGGGCACTATGAGCAATTTAGCATAGCCAAACCATCTAACCTACACATCTTTGGACTGTGGGAGGAAACTGGAACACCCGGAGGAAACCCACACAGACATGGGGAGAATATGCAAACTCTACACATACAGTTACCCGAGGGTGGAACCAAAACTGGGTCCCTGGTATTGTGAGACAACGTTGCTAACCACTGAGCCAATGTAATGATAATGAGTTACGACAAATGATTCTAAAGAGTAAAAACAAATGCGATTAATTGTGACTTTTGTTTCAAGTGCAGTATATATCACAACATTTATACATTATTTTCAAATCATATTCTCTTTGGTTTGTTTTGATTATTACTGTGATCAGACTGTTGATTTTTAATTAAATCTCCCTTAAACTAGCTATACCATGACAACAATGAACCAATCAAACTTAATGGGATGGGCTTACTTTGTCTCACTAGTATTAAGGAATTTTAGATCACTTTACAGAGAGAGGATGTTTTTTATGCTTTTTAGACCATGAGGCCTTGCAGGCATTCAGACATCTTCTTGATGATATAAGCTGACCATTCAGGCTGTCACCAACTACCTACCACTGATCAGCAACAGAGGATCTGGCTTCAATGTCCCTTTAAGTCAGCAAACAGTGCACGTCTAAACCCACAATGGGCATGATAATGTGGCTACTTGCTCAATAAGTGAAATATAAGGCAAGACCGAAAGTGAGATTCTTGGAATCATAGAATCCCTACAGTGTGGAAACAAGTTCTTCGGCCCAACAAGTCCATACCGACCCTCAGGACATCCCACCCAGACCCATCCCCCTTTAACTCCCCTAATCTACACATCCTTTGAAC